CCAAGTCTCGTGCAAAAAAAGAATTTAAACAATTTTCATTTTTCATTATATATATATATATATATATGTATATATATTGCTTATTTAAAAATGTTAATGGTTATTCGACTAATAATTTAGATTTTAGGTTCAGTTTAAAAATATTGTATAGGGGTTTCAGTAGAATATAGTTAGGGAGTTTACATAAATTAAAGAAATCTTAAATAAGATTGTTCTAATCTAGATTTATTTTATTCTGAGTATCTATGTTTTAAAATTACGCATTAATTTTCTATCTAGACTCGTTTAACTTGTAGGTATCTAATTACACAGTAAGTAATTTCAAAAGTCTTTCTCAATTTTGGTTTTATTTAAAATTATTTTATCTATGTATATTTATTTGAAATGCCGAAAATAAATAAAAAAATAGTGCCGTGTAAAATTATATCCAATATATCTTATACGTCTTTTTCAATTCATATTTTTAAATATGACCTTTGATGCAAAATAGAATAACTTTTTTTTATAGCGTTAAATATCATATTTATTTGCAATTGAAAGAAATTCACGAATAAAAATCTTAATGAATTGTTAATTTTATTATGAAAGCAGGTTTATAATGATGCAGAATTTTCTTTTTATCCCTTGTTTTGATAAAAATAATTATTATTGAAATATGTATTGAAAATCAAACATGCCTAAAACATTGTTACATATTCTATTTTCTTATGCTTTTTTGTAAAAAAGAGATACAATAGTTTTCTCAAAATTACGAAGGATTAGATTGAATATTTAATTATCAAATAATTTGTAATAGAAATTTTTTGTTATATTTAATTCAATTTTTATGTCCATTTATTAAACAAAATTAGAAAAAACAACAGTTTGAAATAGCAATAGAGTGTATCATAATGATTTATAAAAACTTTTGAAAAATGATTATAACAATTACTCAATTCCTTCAAATTATTTTGTAAAAGTACTAATGATGCTAAAATATTATTTTAATCATAAAATATATTGGTATTAATAAAACCGAATATATTTTAAATATATGTATAATGTAAGAATTTCAGTAAGGCTACTTTTTTAAAAATAAAATTTTGTATTTTTAATTTAAAATTTAAAAAAAGTCACACGTCAGGTCTAAAAAATGAAACGTGGTTTTTAAAAATTACATTTTAAGCAACTGTAAAAAACACTAAGTGTCAATGCATTGCAATAAACATATTTTACTGTTTGGTAAGATGAATCATTAATACAAATTACTGACACTGTAATTTACCTGACGTCTTATCTGAAAAAAGAAGAAACATATTTTTAAACCCTTGAAAATCAATTTTATGTAACGAACACATTCATGGGAATATATTCTGAAGCAAAAACAATTTTTAGTAAGCATTATTATATTCCGTTTTTATATGAATTGCATTTTAAAAGCAACAGTCTTCTTTGTTTGAAGGTTCAATTATTTATCACTTGTACAAATTAGAGATATTGCTGGATATTCTAACTAGCTATGTTGTTTTACACACTTTGATTTTGATGAAAGTGTGTAAAACAACAATTTAATGATTTTTTTTTGGTGAAAGTTTGTATGGTCCGTATTGAGTGCTCTTTTATTAATCAGGGGCATAGGTTTGAGTTTTTACATTTATTACTACCAGAGGGAAACTAATTCATTTATATGAATTCATTTATAAGTGAATGTAAGCAAGGAATTTGAGTACATAGCTACACCATTAAGTCAGTAAAGTAAAGTAAACAGTCAAGTCCATACGGTTTTCTTCAGTTTCTTATATATTTTTAATAACCATCCTAACGATATAAATGTGAAATGCCTACATCTCAATTATCATGTAAATGTGATTGCATGATTAGTACTATTGTGAATGATTTATTGGATGATAATAGCTATAGTGTTTGCAAGTGTGAGGATTCTCAATAATGATATAGGTATTTTGGGAAGGAATATGTAATGATAATATAACATATGTGATTATTATAATATGATTATTATAATACTGCACTACATAGGAGGTTGAGTTAAGACATGTATGTTATAGTTGTTCCATTCGTGTACAGAAATCCTAATTACTATTATCCCGGTTAAATGTGATATAGCTAATAATTATTCGCGATTATTAGAAAACTAAGCTTTTCAAATTTAAAAAAAATGAAATTTCATATAAACATTCATATTGCTTTAAGAAATTGCTTTCAATTAAGACTGATAAAAAATAATCATTCCAAATTGAAATTAATAATTTTTTAATTTCTGTACGATTTTTCTTTTAGGCATTTGATCGTATACTGAATAAATATTATCGGTAGCAAAACTCAATAAAATATCTATAATACATCATATAATGATAGTTATCACATGCAATCCAAATAACATGAAAATCTTTAAATTAATCAATTATGTAAAAGTGATGCATTAATTATTATGACCTTAATTTCAATTTTCAATAACATCCAACTATTTTAATACGTTTAACAGGAAGAAATAATGTGCTTTGGGATGAAAAGCATGCAAAATTAAATCCAATAAATATCTATTATAACTTGTATTTAGACAACATTTTAAAATTGCATAATACTTTAGTAATGAAGACTGATTATCCTCTCATGCTACGTAATATTATATTTAAGCATGATGAATAGCATTCGTAATCACGTTGAGTAAATAGAACAGTGTATTAAATGCTTAATGTTATTACATGTACACTAAGAAACCCAATACTTTTAAATCACGAGTAAATATTTCATTCTTATAAAACAGCGTTCGTTTTTCTTTATAATTATTTTTATTCATGTATATATTTTTATAAAAGGTGGTTTAAATTACAATGTATATAAGAAAAATATATTTTTATTGTATAATATGTAGCTAATAATAGGTATTTTTCCTTTTTCTTTTTTTGGATAAATACTTCTTTTAATCTGCTCTTAGTTTCGGAATCGTAATTTTCCTACAAAAAGAAAAAAGAAACCTATTTTCTCGCACTTTCAACAATTGCAAATTTTGGAAAGATTTTTTGTAAATATATTTATCTTTGAATTATATATCTATAGGTATATTGCAATTTTTTTTTTTTTTTAATTTCTTGATTTTATGTATTTTTTTTAATATTTTTTTCACTTAAACGTAACCGGTACGTTAAGTTATATTACTCAATATCCCATTACATTATATAAATACTAATTATAAAAATACTAATTCATTTTTTGGGAGAAATATGATTTTTGAGAGGAGAAAACACTGAAACACGAAAACCAACTACAGGGGTTGGGGAGGGGAGCGAATATGTGATGGAGCCTCATAGTTTAAATTGTAATTTTTACAACGTTGCAGCAGTGAAAATTCTAACTTTTAACCTGAATATTGAAGACTAAATAATGATGATTTAAAATAATATTATTTTTATAGCCTTCCAGCACGTGAGCTCATTATTCTTATAAGAGCGCGCACTTGTCGCATTTTTCACGGGAGCTGTTTTTTACCGTAATTGTCAGAAAAAACAACAGAAAAGAATTCATATTGGTAATATGTTAAGAATTTGTCTAAAATCAACCTTATATTGTACAATACAAATTATGTCGTATTCAAATAGAAGTAAATCATTTTTAAATGCTTAAATTAGACATGTAGAGAGGCACTGATGTATTTTATTATAGAAATTTTTAAATCTATTTATTCCTAACTATAATCTGAAATAGATAATCCGAGATAGTTTTAATATTCATTGAAAGCATATTTAAGCAACTATAAAGTGAAATCTTAGTAGGAAAAAAATGCAAGTTTATAATAATATTTCTTATGAATCAAGTCAGGATAACTAATGACTGGTTACAAAACAAAATTTTAAACTAACTCTAATTTTAATATTTTTAATTGTTTTAAAAAATTTGAAAAAAAGAGAAAATAATACAAAAATAGTTTTCTAAAGACATTTCTTAATGTTAGAAGAACACAGTGTATTTCAAGTAATTAATATCTGTAATCAAACGACGTTTGCTTGTGTATCTAAGGCATTTAATAGCTGCTGAGTAGGATATCTTTCATTTCAGTTCTCTTTCACTTTCCGTTTTCTTTTCTGTACTTTTTCTCTTTTACTTCTCTGAGACATGGTGTTCTAAATCATGGTGGTTTTTTTCTACTATCATCTATAACAATGCAACGTATGCCACCATTTCCACTCTATAGCATAATGGGGAGAAGAGTTGAAAATGAGATTAGAAATACCTTTAAGATGTCTTTACTGTGAAATGTGAAATCTTTACTGTGACATGTGAAAAAAGTGCATTAAATGTGTATTATAAATTTGTAATGATGTAATGATATGTAATTGAAATGATAAAAGTGAATTTGTAGTGAAATTTGAGGCAAACTCTAGTACTGGATGGACAAGGAAATAATTTTCGTCAGTAAGTGCATTAAACTAACATTCACAAACGTATTTATGAAATTTTTTTGGGGGGGTTTTCAAGTATTTTTGTCATGCCTAAAATTTTAATTTTTTTCCTAAAAATAAAAGTTTTTATTTTTGTTTCTCATGTGAATAGAAAGTTTGGGTCTTTTTTACAAAATAAATCTTCAATTTAAAATAATAGCTTTAGTTAGGTCATGTAGTAATAGATTTATGAAGTGTTTCTTTCCAATCAATTCAATATCTAATGTTACCCTGAATTTAATTATTTCTGTAATACATTATCAGACATTATAAGAGTAAACTGGTTAGGAAGTTAAAAAGGAATATTTTATGTTAATTTCATTTAATTAATATGATATTTCTGATTGTTTAAAATCTTTCAAACTAAATACATTTTTCTGTTGCTATTAAGTTAAAGAAATAGAAAATTTATTAAGATTAAAAAATGTCTGTAAAATATATAATAAAAATTTGTACATATATCAAATAAAATGTTTTTATTTTCATCATTTTCAATTACTACCCACCTTTCCTAAACATTTTAAAGAATATTAATAATAACTACATTCTAAATTGCATTTTAATTTTAAATTCAGGGGCTGCACTTAAGTTATACTTCTGTAAGTAATTTCAAAGTAATTCCTTTGTAAAGTAATCCAATGAATTCTAACGGCCACTAATACATTTCTTTAAAGCGTAATTTTAGACTCTACATATTTCTTCGCTTAATGTTTTCAGTTCTGTGTAAAATTGTTAGCATTAGTCTGTAAGCAGTAACAATCAATAAAGAAATGTCTCGAATCATTAATATCAACCGGATCTAAGTGTCTAATAAGAAAAACTAAAGAAATAATTTAGTTGCGTAAATGATAATGATAGTCAATGAAAAAAAAACTTGGAATGTGATTAGGATTTGTTTAAATACAAGTAAAAACACCATCATTCAAGTTTAGATTGGTCAGCAGGTGAATATATTTTTCCTTCAGTTTTTTTTTTATTCCTTAATAATCATATATATTTAATAACAAATTATACAGAATTCCTTCATGAATGCTTATGTCATAGTTCGCTGGGAATTAAATACTTTTTAATAAAATATGTTAAATGAAATGAAATTGCGTAATCATTCACATTTAAATGAAGATTTCTGCGCAATGTTTTTATTTAATTGATGATTTTAGGATCTCGACAAGTGGTTCTAAGTTTTCAGCTTTTATTAACGTTCAATATTAAGGATTGAGTGAAAAATGCATTAATGTGAGGAAAATTTGATCAATGACTTCCTTACCAAAACTAAAAGTTCATATGTTTTTAAAATTTATTTGCAAATGAATTCACTCATTTATTTATTTGTCCTTTCACTGGCCAGCTGATGCCCTGATTTGCTAATCAATGATCTGCTTTTCTTCCTCCTTCCATTTATTTTCTTCATTTAACATCAGTTTGAAGTACAGTATAGTAGTTGATTACAAACATGAATGAGAGGTGAGGGGCATCATAAGTATTACAAATTGTATAACAAACTGAGACCCAAAATGACCTCGTGCGCCACTAGTGATACCCATTATGATTTAGTATTTTATTTTATAGCCGTCGTTGAACAGCCAACCTAATTTTTCTGGGTTTGCGACTAATAAGTGTAATTTCAACTGCTAAGTGACGCCGTAGTGTTGTAATTTGAAATTTGCCTTCGTTGTTGACTTTCTGATTGAACATGGGGAGGAAAATCACGAAAACCTCTCATGGTTAGCTTGACGGAGAGGGGACTGTGACGCATGGTATGTCTACCACTGAGGATATTTTATGTCAGCAGTGTGGTCTGTGTGGAATTCGTATCGACTTTGTGACCCGACAGATTTAACGTTCATCAGTACACAGGGAGTCTGCGGCCGGTAGGGATCGAGCCCACGATCTCTTGGACATGGGCCCAGTGTCCTACCGACCAGGCTATCCCGGCCATGAGCAATGTGAATTGTATAACAAACTAAGACTAGAAATGTCATCGTACGAAATTAGTGCCACCTATTATTATTCAGTACAGTGATTTCAAGTATTAGTGAGACATAGGGAGCAACAAAAGCATTGTATGCTATATAGCAAGTCAAATCCGTAAATGTTATCGTACACTGCATGTGCAGCCTGTTACGAACTGTCTTCTCATATACGTTTTAAGAAACACCTTTGAATTATTTAAATGATCTAAAATTTTTGCTAAATTATTGTCATTCTTTTGTTTAAATACTGTCATATTGCGCAAAAAATTGCATTCAAATAGGTCCCAGAATAAGTATTTTACTGCAATTTAATGATTTAATGAACAATTTAATGAACTTGATAAGTTATAACAAAATTATTCCATTGCGTGTTTTCCTTATTGCCAAAAAAAGCTATCTCTTCTTAAAAAAATATCTCTGATTTTCTTTTTTAATCAAAATTAAATTATAAACATATAGTGTTGGTATTTTAATATATATTTTTGACTATTTTCTATAATCCAGTATTATTTCTTTTGTCTTTTGTTTATATTTTGATGATGATGATATATATATATATATAAAATTTACTGAGTCTCTTATTTCGTAGAAACACAAAAAAACACGATAATTTGAGCCGAATAACTTTGGGAAAGCATTTGGTAAAATTAACAAAAAATAATGTGCTTTTATAATAAGTGATAAAACTTGCTGAATGTGGTTAAAATTTGGTAATTTTATCATTTATATCATATCCTAAAGCGATAAGAAATAAAATTTTTAAAATTAGAATTTTATGTAAACCAATACCATATGAATTGTTTAAATACCGTATATTTCTGTTTTTAAAACAACAATTATCATTTTCCCTTACCAGAAATGCCAGTACCATTGCACTGCGGAAATTTCAGCAGAATGTTTTTTTTTTCTTTCTCTGAAAGGCTAATGTATTTATTAACTGTAAATTAAGTTATATCAGAGTATGGATACAACTAACTATTTTGTAATCAAATAATAAGAAATACCAATAAAATTCTGGCTTCATGGTTGCTTCTAATGATTATATGATATATTTTTTTCTGAATCTAAATTTTTAAAAACACCCCACGAAAATTGCTCCCAGAAAGCTACTCAAGTGTTTTGACACAGACAATAAAAACACAACACGTCAGGTGCCATTATTTTTTCGCATTTTGTTTAACCGTTTCTTGGGAAGTAAATTGTTGAAGAAGCCATTTAATAAATCACGTTGATCAACGAGTTATTTCAGAAAAATCTAAAGAAGAAGAAATTCTTAAGTCCCTAATATATCACTTCTTAGCACCTATTTTTTTTTTCTTTCCATTTTGCTCCCACTCCTCTTTCATTTTATCTTATTTCTTCGGAAGTAAGTGTCGGTCCTTTTGGCAACAGCTGTACTTAATGATCTCCAAAGCTGGCCATCGTCGGAAATGAAAACGGCGACCAGCAAAGGCATTAGGCTGTGAAGGAAAGCATTTGAGATTATTTCTATCTTCGACATCTCTGCGGGGGGTATGGTGTGGGCGGTTAATGAAATATATCGACAAATGTTGCATACAATCCTTTAGTGCCTCGTAAATGTTTCTATATTTTGTTGGAGACACATATAGAATAGATTGGATTAAGAATGTGTGTTGTATAGCAGATCAAAAACGCAAAAGGCTTCTATAAAAACATTTTGTTTTGATGAGAATTCAGTTTTTTTTTCGAAAATCGTGCGAAGAAATTTTAACATTTTCTTTCCTTTACTTTCCTCTTATAGTGTATTTGACTAGATGAACTGTGCTTTATTACTAAAAAAAGGAAGTGTGCTTTATAACTAAAAAAAGGACAAATGAACTGTGCTTTATTACTAAAAGTAGCAGAAATTAAAAAAAAGCCTTAATAATTAGGATTTATTCTGCCATAAAACATTAACAAAATAAATATTTATATATGAATTTGATAATGCATTGAATTTGATAATTTAACAATATCTCAGATAGCAAAGCACCCTTACAGGAAACTTCTTTTTTGATGAACATTCAAAGGTTCATTGGTTAATTATTATTCCTACAAAACTGAAATGTTACTTTGCCAAATGTTCTTTTTTCAGTATTTCTTAAAAGCATGCCTAAGCTTTTACTCAAAAATAAATAAATAAATAAATAAAATTTCTTAGTTTAGTGAAATCCTTTTTATTAAACTTTTTATTCCTATGTAATTTAAGTTCCTCAAACGAAGTATTTTTTTAATGGGGGAGAGTTCACTATTCAACTTAACTCTTAAAATGTTAAAAAAAATTATATTAACCTTTCCAAAAAAAGTATTCATCATTATATCAAGAATAAAAATTCTTGATATAATGATGTTTATAAACTCTGAGATAAAATTTGTATTTTAAACATTCTTTCATACCAAAACATAGTTGCGTTTAAAACCTCAGTTTTCATGAAACAAAATGATGAAGCTGTAAGCCTCGATTTTAGAAGTTTTCTTAGTCTTGTCTTGTAAAGGCTGATTCAATTCCGATATAAAATGCTTTTAAGTATGTTTATAGCGAATCTCACAGCGAAACCAGTATAGTTAAATGTAACATTGTTCCTAGCTTACACGGTTTAACTGCTAATTATCTATACACCTTGTCGAAGTTTTTTGCGAAGTTTTCTGCTGACATTAAAATTAATCTTATACTGCTATCTGGGATATGTTTTTTTTAAAAAACAAAGAGAAAGGTCACATGAATAAATATCATTTCGGCAAAAACAACAAGTAAAACTATTTTTTTTAAAATC